GTTGTCTCGGATTCTCCAGCATCTGCAGTTCCTACTATCTCTGATTCAATTTTAACCCCACTGCGAAGCCTCTTCTAAGGATGCCTAACCTGAAGAAGTTACCCTTCTCCCTCCGGACAAACCTCAAGGGATCTCTCTCCCACTGATCCGCCTCCCACTCTCTCCCTATTTATTTCAAAACCCCCTTCCCCTCCCCCTTTTCTGATGAAGGCTCTAGGCCCGAAACGTCAGCCTCTCTGCTCCTATGATGCTGCTTGGCCTGCTGTGTTCATCCAGCCCTGCACCTTGTTGTCTCGATTCTGATCAAGAATGCTTTTATTATTTAACCACATACCTGTAACCAAATTGAAATGATATTTGAATAGTTAAAGGCAGCACTCCTGTGCTCCAAATCACCCAGCCATGGGCTGTTCTGACTGGCCCCGAAGAGACTAAGAAACCGGTGAGAGGGGGTGGTGGGACTGAAGGTAGCACAAGCTTGGGTTTTCTGCTCATGTTCTAATTATTTTGGTGCCTATTTTTTCGCTATTGGCAGCAGCCAAAATTACAACTAAAAAACGTTCCAACATTGCTCAATGCCCCTGTCATTTGTAAAGCCACTTGTCTCTTAACTATGGAGGGAAAACATTCGAGATTTGAGACTGCAATGTCTACAGACATTCTTTTTCCTACAGGACCTATTTAAATATGCTCTCCTCAATATGAAATCCCTTCAACCAGTATTTTGGTCAGCCAGTAATACTAGTTCCAAGACTGTGCTGGATAATGGAAGTTTTAAAATATTACCATAATCCCGAAATGTGATTCAGTCTTTGTAACCTATTACCATACTACAATAGACTCTATACACCAAGGATTCACTTGCTGCATCTATAATTTCAGTTGGAAAATTTCATTGCTAATGTAGAGTAACACAGTCATTAGGATCATGGATTTCATTGCAATTTTTTTCAAAAAAACATAAACCTCCACCAGAGCCAACACCAGCACTAGTCAAAAACAAAGTGTGATATGAGGCAAAGCAAAAGGTTTTGTAACTACATGGAATGCTATGCCCAAGATAACTGTCTCTAAATTGTTTTGGACCCAAGGACCATTAGGATTACCTGTTTTTGTTGATGCATAATCATGATGAATGTATTATTGCTGAGGCCCTAATTTTGTTCCTAAACAGATCGCTCCAAAAGGTTTGAAGCAAGTACAAACTATGTCATGTGGCTCCTGTTCCAATGAGAATGCCTTCAAAGCAGCTTGTATCTGGTATCGAGTAAGTGAAGAAATTGCCACTTTACTTTGAAATCTGTCCATGCAAAGGCAGTATGAAAATACACTTACATCTTCATAATACAGAAGTACTAATAGGGCCTAAATAAAAACCAAACAAACTGCAGATGCTGTAAATCAGAAACAAAAACAGAAATTGCTGGAAAAGCTCAGCATCTATGGAGAGAAATCAGAGTTAACGTTTCAGGTCGAGTGACCCTTCCTCAGAATTCCAGTTCTGAGGAAGTGTCACTCGACTTGAAACATTAATTCTGATTTCTGTCCATAGATGCTGCCAGACCTGCTGAGCTTCTCCAGCAATTTCTGTTTTTGTTACTAAAAGGGCCTTTTTGACAACCTCTGTTTGTCAGTTTGTCAATGTTTTGAAAATTATGCAGCAAGCCATCATTAAGAATCAAGATCCTGCATCTCACGTTCTGGATCTTGCAAGATCTTGGATGGGCTGATGGATGACTTCAAGTTGAAAATGGAGTCTCATTTATGGAAGATAGCTGATTACAGAGGAGCAACTCCTAGAACCACAGGGACAGGAGAGAGGGGTTCTGTTTCAAAAACTAACTGCGTGTTTTGTTAGAAGATTTCAATAGTAAGCAGCTTAGTTCTGTTAATTAAATTAGTTCTGGTTTTGAAGGTTGGTAAATTGTGTTTGGATACAGCACTGACTGAGATGAAAGCTTCCACTCTGTTGGTTTTAATGGTCCTAAATAAAATGAGATTGAGCAGTTATCAACCAACACAAAGTGAGTGACATCATCATTTGAGCAAAAGACTTTAAGCATCATCAGTGAGAGGAATATAAAATTACATCTTCATTGTCCCCACGTCTTTGAGCAATGGTTTTAAATGATTATTCTTCTGTTGCTATTTGTACTGCCTTTAGATTCATGTTCAGTTTCATCACTTGACCAATTACCATCATCTTTTGTTTTCCATCATTATCCCTTTAGTCGTTTGATCTTGCCTAGCACAGAACTTTCATTTGACACTCTCATCAACCCATCTACACCCGCTCCCACCACTCTTTCCCCAACTCTGAATTTGCTTAGAACCTGTTACACCTCTGTTTCCTGTTGTGAAGAAAGGCCATTAACCTGAAACATTAACACTGTTTCTCTCTTTAAAGATGCTGCCTGATCTGCTGATTACTTCCAGCACTTTTTGGTTTAAACTTCAAATTTCTCAACAGAAATGAAAACACTATTAAAAATATAGGGTTCTTTTGTTGGGACTGAAATTGAAAGAGCTTTATTCTTGACCTGGTCATGTATTAACTGCGCTAAGTATACTTGATGCTGAATCTATGTCAAAAGCAATAAAGTATGTCATTCCCCAGCATCTCAAGAACATAATTATTCACCAGAAAATCCAGTTCAGGTTCCAAAATACATTCTAATAAAGTTGTGAAATCCTGATCATTACAGACAATGATTGATCATGTCATCAATTGAATTCATGATTTACAGAATAGCGGGGAGAGAAGAAAACATTACACTTATTGATCATCAAATGATAAAAAGGACACTAATACTTTGTAATAAATTCTCTGTCGCTTTGCTTTAGAAATGTAAGAATCAATAGAAATATAGACACATTTCCTACCTTCTGATACATTCCTGGAGTCATTTGAAAATCGTAATCTAGAATTTACTTAGAAAATAGGGACAGGACTAAGCTATTTGGCCCATTGAGCCTGCTCTGCCATTCAGTGTGATCAATGCTAGTCATCCCATACCTTTTAATCCCTTTTAATCGTAAAACCAGTATCTATTTCCTTCTTGAAACAATTTTAAGTTTTTGCTTCAACCACTTTCTGGCAGAAAATGCCACAGCATTACCACTCTCTGGGTGAAGAAATTTCTCGATTCTGAGTCCTAAATGGCTTACCAGATTGTGACTTCTGGTTCTGAAATCCCCAGTCAGCGGGAACATCCTTTCTGCATCTATCCTCTCGGGTCATGTTAGAATTTCATAGGTGTCTATGAGATTCTCCCATTATTCTTCTCAAGTCCAGTGAATATGGTCCTAACTGATCCAGTCTCTCTTCATACGTCAGCCCTGCTATCCCAGGAATCGGTCTGGTAAACCTTCATTGCATTTTGTCCATAGCCATTTCATCCTTCCTCATATAAGGAGACCAAAACTGCACACAATACTCCAGGTGAAGTCTCACCAACACTCTGTACAATTGCAACAAGAGATCCCTGCTCTTGGACTCAAATTTTCTCACTAATAAGGCCAACATACCACTTGCTTTTTTCATCGCCTGCTGATTTGCGTATTTATTTTCGGTGACTGGTGTTCAAGCACACCCAGGTTTCGTTGTACCTCCATTCAGATAATAATCTGCCTTAATGTTTATCGCTCCCAAAATGAATAGTCCCACATTTATCCGCATTAAACTACATCTGCCATGCATCTACCCACTCACTCAACTTGTCCAAATCACATTAAAGCACTTCTGCATCCTCCTCACAGCCAACCCTTCCACCCATCTGCAATATGTTGTAGGTACAGCATTTAGTTCCCTCATCTAAATCATTGATGTATGTTGTGAACAGCTGGGGTCCAAGCACTATGGTACCCACGAGTCACTGGCTGCCACTCAAGAGTTTATTCCAACTCTTTGTTTCCTGTATGCAAACCAGTTCTCTATCCATATCGATACACTACCCCATGTGCTTTAATTTTACATGCTGATTCCCTACCTACAAGTTACAATCTTGAAAAAATTTATTCTGTGGTTGGTGAAGCTTTCTAAATCAATGAAAAAGGTTTATGGCGGTAGCATTTAAGAACTTGCATTATTGGCTTTTACTGACTTTTCAACCGATTTAAAATCAAAAGTGGCAGTTGACACAGTAAAAGACAAAGCTTTTGTACAGCAGCTCCATCACTGCTGCCTGAGGAAAGCTACTTCTTCCAGTTGTTCTCAGCAAACACAACATTCTGGAATCTGCTGTTACTAGTCTGCTCTGACAGACCCTCCAATGCAGAAAATAAATGAGTCATTAGGTGTCACTGTGCTTTTTCTCTGTAGAACAAGGAAAGAGGCAATGCTATACATACAAAGGAGGAGCTGGAATCTTGTATGATCAACCAGGTAAATGCTTAAGTTCTGAAAAAATTCAACTTTGATGTTCCTGTCATACCAGCTCCTTAAAGCTGGTAGCTGTTTCTTTTATTCATTTTATTTTGTTACATTCTCCACTTGAAAAGTTGTGAATAGGTATTTCATTCCAGTTGTATGACGGTCTTATTAAACCATCATTGTTGTTTTCCCTGATCTGTATTCTCCTGTGTTGTTGTTCTGTTTTCTTGTACATCTGAACAGTCATGAGAAATGGCACATATTCAAGACACTTCATTGATTGTATGTGTTTTCAAATGTAGGCATATAAATGTTTCCTTCTTTAATGTAAATTTATACTGTGATGTTTCTGCTGCATATTTTGTGTGTTGACTATTCCTTTGCACTCCCAGTGTCCTCCCATTGTCAGCACTGTTATCAATATTGTATCCCACAACAAGTCCCTCAAAATCGCCATCCCTTGTGATTGCTGACCTAAGATAGCTCCTAACATTCCAAGACTTCAAAACTAAAATTTTGCACAACCTGAACCCTTCCAAAGCTCAGAATCTTCTGCAGTCCTAAAATACACCATCCTACCCCCAATGGTCTGTGCCTGTAACTCTAGTGTTCTAGCAGTGTCCATTAATTCACTGTACCTTTGTTAAAAATAAATTGATGGAGGACCAGAGATAATGACCCACTGTAGAGTTATGCTAATTGCAATTTTGCCATCACATTTTGGAAGATAGAAACAAATGGGCTAGTTGTGCTATTCTACAATATGAGACAATGGGCAAAATTTAGAGCGCACAGTTGCCCCACCAACCCTGGAAGCTGAGTTTCAAGGTGGGGTTTGCAGTTTCATGTTTGGTGGGGTTGCGTGGGTGGGTGTGGTGGGCAGCAAAGTGTGGAATAAAGAAACTGCCACCCTCCCAAATGCCCCCACTCAAGATTCAGGCAGGAAGGATGGGGGTCAGTTAAGGCCCTGAAACCATTGAGGACACTAACAGGCCTTTTCCCACTACCAGTGGTATTCGACAGGCAGGACACTCTCCCTCCAGCAAGATTGAGCAGTAAAACCTGTTGGGCTTGCCTGCAGCCTAGAAAGGGGAGCAGATGATTTATCCTCCTTGGGCACCCTGTGCCAGATCAAAGGATTGGCATTTTCCTTAAGCAAGAGTGATCAACGTGTTCACAACCTCTGGAGAGGGGATATTACTGACAATTCAGAAACTATAATCAGAGGGTTACCACCATTCTGATGCACTCAGTGAACTGGTTACATTGTAAACAGAGTTCTGTAACGAATTGTGGGATGTGTAGAACCAAAAGAAAGTTCAGGAGGAGAAATAATTCACAAACTTTGACCCTAGTTGCATGGTGCTTCCAAATAATCTGTTAGATTGACAACTGAAAATATAGAATATCACTGGGCCGCATGGGGGAGGGAACGGCATAGGGGTTCTGATTGACACTTTCTCTTTTTTCTGGCATCCATTGAAATCCCCTTTTCCTCAATCCCGCAAATTGGAAATATCCCCCAATTTCTATATGTAATTCTCAAAGTAGATAAATCGATAAACTCAGATGTTATAGGATTTACAATGAATACAGAAAAAGATGTAAAGAAAGGAGCCAAAAACCAGACCATTTAGGTTTCATGTGAAACAGCGTCACCTAGTGGTAATATGGATCTAATCTTTCTGCTTCTTCCTTCAGGCACCTGGTAGCCCTGATATAACTATTCTATCTTTCATGGGTGGCTTTCATGGAAGAACATTTGGTAAGGAAAATGCTGTTAATTTTAAAACTACAAAGAAACTTGTAACTAGGGTCAGGAGTGGGTCATTTGTTCTTTCAAACCTGCCTTGCCATACAGCATGACCGTGACTGACCCTCTAACTCAACACCATATTCCCACTTTCTGTCCATACCAATTGATGCCTTTCATATATAAAAATGTATCAAACTCTTTCTTGAATGTACTCAGTCACCCAGTCTCCACAGCCTTCTGTGGTAGCAAATTCCACAGGTTGATCACCCTTTCAGTGAAGAAATGTTGCATCATCTCAGTCCTAAAAGGCATACTTTGTATCTTGAGACTGTGACTCCTGGTTCTAGATTACCCAAACAGAGGAAACATCCCTCCTGTAACTAGTCTGTCTAACCCAGTTAGAATTTACATGTTTCAAACTAATCCTCTCTCATTCTTCTAAACTCTAAATACAAGCCCATACGAACCAATCCCTCTTCATAGGACAGTCCTGCCATCCTCAGTATCAACTGAGTGAACCTCCCCTGCACTCTCTCTATGGCAGGTATATCCTCTCTTAGGTAATGAGACCAAAACTGTTCACAGTACTCCCAGTGTTGTCTCACCAAGGCCCTGTATAACTGCAGTAAGATATCCTTACTTCTGAACTCAAATCCTCTTACAATGAAGGCTAACAAAAAATTTGTTTTCCTATTTGCTTGCTATACCCGCCTGTTTACTTTCATTGACTGACCATAAGACCATAAGACATAGGAGCAGAAGTTAGGCCATTCAGCCCATCGAATCTGTTCCGCCATTCAATCATATCTGATAAGTTCCTCAACCCCATTCTCCTGCTTTCTCCCCGTAATCCTTGATCCCATTGATAATCAAGAACCTATCTATCTTAGTCTTAAATGTACTCAAGACCTGGCCTCCACAGCCTTCTGTGGCAGTGAATTCCATAGATTCACCATTCTCTGGCTGAAGAAGTTTCCCCTCATCTCCATTCTAAAAGGTGTTCCCTTTACTCTAAGGCTGTGCCCTCGGGTCCTAGTCTCTCCTACCAATGGAAGCATCTTCCCAACATCCACTCTGTCCGGGCCATTCTGTATTCTGTAAGTTTCAATTAGATCCCCCCTCATCTGTCTAACCTCCAATGAGTATAGTCCCACAGTCCTCAAACATTCCTCATATGTTAAGCTTCTCATTCCTGGGACCATTCTCATGAACCTCCTCTGTACCTGCTCCAGGGCCAGTACATCCTTCCTGAGATATGGGGCCCAAAACTGCACACAATACTCCAAATGTGGCCTGACCAGGGCGTTATAAAGCCTCAGTATTACATCCCTGCTTTTATATTCAAGTCCTCTCAAAATAAATGCCAACATTGCATTTGCCTTCCTGACTACTGACTCAACCTGCAAGTTTACCTTGAGAGAATCCTGGACTAGAACCCCCAAGTCTCTTTGCACTTCAGACTTCTGAATTTTCTCCCCATTTAGAAAATAGTCCATGCTTTTATTCTTCTTACCAAAGTGCATGACCTCACACTCTCCCACATTGTACTCAATCTGCCACTTCTTTGCCCACTCTCCTAACCTGTCCAAATCCTTCTGCAGCCTCCCCACCTCCTCAATACTACCTGTCCCTCCACCTATCTTTGTATAGTCTGCAAACTTAGCCAGAATGCCCACAGTTCCGTCATCTAGATCATTAATGTATAAAGTGAAAAGTTGTGGTCCCAACACTAGCCCTTGCGGAACACCACTTGTCACCGGCTGCCATCCTGAGAAAGACCTTTTTATCCCCACTCTCTGCTTTCTGAGCCAATCTTCTATCCATACTAGCACCTTGCCTCTAACACCCTGGGCCCTTATCTTACTCAGCAGCCTCCTGTGTGGCACCTTATCAAAGACCTTCTTGAAGTCCAGGTAGATAACATCCATTGGCTCTCCTTGGTCTACCCTGCTCATTACTTCCTCAAAGAATTCTAGCAGATTTGTCAGGCATGACCTCCCCTTGATGACTGGTACACAAGGACACCCAGATCTCTTTGTAAATCCAGACTTCCTAATGTATCACCATCTAAATAATACTTGTCCATTCTGTTTTTCATGCCAAAGTATACAACTTCACATTTAGCTACATTGTACTGCATCTGCCTTGTGTGCTCATTCACTCAACTTATCTAAATCACCTTGAAGCCTCCTTGATTATTCCCCACGACACTCAATCCTGCCCAGTCTTCTGGGTTATAAACTTGGAAATGTTGCAAAATTTGGTTAAATATATACAGAGGCTGATCACATCATCATGACAGAATTTAAAGTAATGTATAATAACTGCAGGGAGATTGTGGCATAGTGGTATTGTCACTGAGTTAGTAATCCAGAGGCCTAAGCTAATGCTTTGGGGACATGAGTTAAGTTTGAGTAATTAATCTCGAATTAGACTCACTTCTGGTTATTGTGAAATAATTGTCATGAAAACCCATGCCCTTCAATAACATCCTTTGGGGAAGGAAATCCCTCACATTATGTGTGACTCCAGTCCTTAGCAATGCAGATAATTCTGAACTGCCTCAGCACTGGAGGAACAAGCAACTCAGTTCAAGGGCAATTAGGGATGGGCATCAAATACTGGCCTTGGCAGCAACATCCACATCCCTTGAAAGAATATTAAATATCTGTTTCCATCTCCGAAAAATAAAAATCATCATGGTCTAAAGTAGGTTTCGATTGTATGTATGTAGATACATAAAGCATGGTAAGTAAGATTGGTGAAGTGCAGGCTCAGAAAGCCGGGTGGGAATAGGATATCATGGTGATATCAGAGATCTCACTCAAAAAAAGGACAGGGCTGGTTAGGTTGCTAAATACTGCTGGATACAAGACTGGATTTTTCCCACCAAGTAGCTCAAGTCAGGAAGTTGCCAAACATGACAGACCCCCCCTCAGTAAAAAATAATGTGCAATTTTGACTCAGGGTAGGGGAGAAAGGGCAAATGTGGGATGGAGTCGGGCCGGAACCTGGAAATGAAGCATAGATGTCCACAGGGACGAGCACGTGCCAAGATAGTTCTCTAGGAATTAATTCAATTGTTTTAGAAGTTGTTAGATCCTCCATTTACTCATCACACTCCCTCCATCCCAAACAACACCCAGCCTAACGGCACTTCATACCCTCAATTCAGATATAATGCCAATGCATACCCACTACCACACATGAACCCTCATGCTTACCAATGCCATTTCCATTGCTACTTGCCCAATATTCAGCATGGGCAGATCTCAGAAGTTATGTGAAAATGGAAAATGAACTTCTGCCAATCTAACATAGCTGTCATTCCTAAATGCTGATATTGAAAAAGAAAATATCCTTTTATAAAATACATTCAAAATTTTCAAGTCTCCTCAAGTGTCTATTCTCATCTAGACCAAATATCTATTTCAGTAACTACATCAAAGACAGTCAGTCCTTTAGTGGCCTCTTTAAGCTATCAGCAAACTATAAACTTGTTGCTGAGACAATTGAATTTTTTTTTGAAAAGCTCATCCAAGCATCACAATGACATAGTGATTGCCTTTGTGGAATATCAGCAAAGAATTCGATTGAAACTGCACAAACAGAGGCTAATGTCTTTGTCTAACTTAAGCCTGTCAACCAGGGCAGATGGTTTGGCATTAATTTGCTGACACATGGAGCTGTTTAAAGACTGGGACACTTAAAATGCTTCTTCCATTTTGATTTAGTTCCCTCTTCCGACCACTCCCTCACCTTTGATGGTTTGCATTGCCCTTAATAGGCTTTGCACATAAATTATTCAGTTGGAGACACAGGCTATTTAGTGATGGTGGTTAATAGATGAAAGAAAATACCATGGGTGATTTGGTAATGAGAACAAAAACCCGTTCAGTTGTGTGTAAGAGCACTTTTGGATATGAAAAAGAAAATAAAAATGCTTCCAGGACACTGATGGTACAGTGGTTATGTGTACCAGAAGTACACTCCAGAAGTGTGTTATAACATCTCTGAGCAAGTTGATTTGAAAATATCTTAAGCAGACATAAAGAGACAAGCACTGAAACTTGAAAGTTGGGTTTGGAAGTGCATGCTTGTAATGCTTCACACTGTAAATTAATATTGAACATATAAAGATTAGCTCCTGTACTACCTTTTACCAAATAAAACCTAAAAAAAACTGCCGATGCTGTAAATCAGAAACAAAAGCAGAAATTGCTGGAAAAGCTCAGCAGGTCTGGCAACATCTGTGGAAAGAAATCAGAGTTAATTTTTCGGGTTGAGGGACGATTGATTGGAGGCAGTGCTTCCACATCTGAGTCCTGACTACCATTTCTAAAGATTCGCATTGTGTGCCCAACTCCACAAAAATCCAGCACCAAATGTTCAGGAAAGACAGAGAACCCAAGAAACCAGGCAAGGTGAAAGTATTGATTGAGGAGAATATTAAAATGCTGGAGAGAGAGAGAATGTCCTAAAAAAGTAAATGACAGAATATGTTTGGTTAGAGTTAGGGAACAATTGAGATACCTTTACATTGGATGTATTCTATAACCACCAACTAGTGGGAAAAGATTACGACAAACATGCAGACATATTACAGAGAGCTGCAACAACTGCAGGATAATGATAATGAGTGAGCTTTCTTCCTAAAATGACACAAAACATGAAACTATTGTGAACTGTGAGGTGGATAATTGGATTGTACTGTGTTGCCATAGTCTTACCAGACCATTAGAGAGAGACAACTGGTGATGATTTTACCTGAGGGCCACAATGCCTCAGGCGAGGAGAGAGGTAGAGAAGGAGATTCCTTCATGGTAACCTCAACTGGTGATGGGAATTGAACACATGCTGTTGGCGTCACACTGCTTTGCAAACCAAGCATCCAGCCAACTGAGCTGAACTGACTCCCGTGAGGTGGATAATAATGAGCTTCAAGAGGAACCAGATATGCTGATAGAATGGATGGAATGTTACCAATGAAATTTAATACTATTAAGAGTGAGGTGATACATTCTGATGAGAAGGATGAAGAAAGATATCGTCAATTAAAGAGTACAATTCTAATGGGAGTGGAGGAAAAGATGCTCTCAAAGCGCACAAATGATTGAAGATGACACGGTTGATTGAGTAACTCCTGAAACAGACACATGGGTTCCTGGGAATTATAATCGGGACACAGATTCAAATGCAAGCAAGGTATGCTGAACTTTTACAAAGCAAACACTGGTTTTGTTTTGAGTGTCCAACACAGCAGTGAGTTCAACATGAGGACTTTATTGAAGTGAAGCTTAAGATGTCTACTTCCAGAGTGTGTGCCTTGTGGTGAGGTTACATGACTTCAGACTAGGATTGCATTTCAATCAAAACATTCCCATTTTGATGCAAATAAAGAAAAATGTTGACATGCATTATCATTTACATACTTAATTGCCCAAATGGTGAAGTTGCTTCTTCAACGAGTGTCACTTCCATATCATTTGTTGTTGCTGTGATAGCTGTTATTGTTCTATTTCTGTTGTTGAGCTGATGTAGACCTCTGCGTCTGATGGTCGATGTGGTATCTGCATTGGTGATGCATTCACCTTTTCCTGCTTAGTGCCTCCAGCTGAGGAACAGCTTCTGCATTTGGTTATATATGCACCTGCTATTGCAGTTGTTACAGTTTTTCTGGCCATTCACTTCCACAACATACAATTGAGGTAACAACTACCTCATGCAGGTCCTAAATTGCCATAAGAATTGGCTTTTGTTTAGATTGTTGAATGTTTGCACCCTGATTATTTCTCCAGTATCAACACTAGCAATGGTTTAACAATTTTGTCAAAATTAAATTTGCTGTGCTGCCATTGCACCCTTGAGTCTTTTACGCATACTTGTTACTATTTCTGGATTCAGTCGATATTTCTGCTATTGGAAGAGTAGTTTGCGTGCAGTGCAATGTTAGTGTTTGTACTAGATTACTTTCCAGGCCTTCAATATGTGTGTTTCTCCACTTGAGGATGCCTTGTATACATCTGCTCAATTTCTTGATGATTCCTTCAACAATTTTCGCTGCTGTTGCAGCCTTTCCATTTGAATGGGGATAGTGTGGAGATGATGTGTGGTGTTGAATTTCCCAATCTTTCAGGAAGTGACTGAGATCTTCACTCGTGAACTGAGAGTCATTGTTGATCCTGACAATGTCAGGAAGGCCATAATGTCTGATGTCTGCTTTTAGTTATTCAACAGTCTCAGTTGTCAGAATAGTTATCTACTGTGACAGGATGATCAGCTTCTGCGATTGTGAAGATAGCCCATCGCTAATTGCCATTGAAAAGGTGGTGGTGAGCTGACTTCTTGAACTACTGCCATCCATGAGCTGTAGGTAGGCCCACAATGTCTTTATGGAGGGAATTCCAGGATTTCAACCCAGCGACAATGAAGGAACGGTAACATATTTCCAAGTCAGGACAGTGAGTGGCTTAGAGGGAAATCTGCAGGTGGTGTTTTCATGTATTTGTTATCCCTTGTCCTTTTAGATGGAAGTAGTCGTGGGTTGGGAAGCTGCTGTCTAAGAAGTTTTGGAGAATTTCTGCAGTGCATCTTGTAGTTGGTATATACTTCTGAGTGGTGGAGGAATTGAGTGTTCGTTGATGTAGTGCCAATCAAGCGGGCTGTTTACAGCTGGATGATGTCAAGCTTCTTGACTGTTATTGGATTGGCATGGATCCAAGAGTGTGGGGAGTATTCCATCACACTTCATCAGACTTGGGCCTTGGAGATGGTGGACACGCTTTGGGGGTGACTGGAGGTGAGTTACTCACTGGAGGACTCCTAGCCTCTTAGCTGCTTTTATAGCTGTAGTACTTGTATAGAATGCCTACAGTGTGGAAACAGGCCCTTCGGCCGAACAAGTCCACACCGACCCTCCATAGACCCATCCCCGTACCCTTGCCCTGTTACCCTGCATTTCCCATGGCTAACACACCTAGTCTACACATCCCTGAACACTATGAGCAATTTAGCATAGCCAATCCACCTTGTCTTTGGATAATGGGAGGAAACTGGAGCATCTGGCGGAAACCCACGCAGACACGGGGAGAATGTACAAACTCCACACAGACAGTCGCCCAAGGCTGGAATTGAACCCAGGTCCATGGCGCCATGAGGTAGCAGTACTAACCACTGAGCCACCGTGCCGCTCCAATTAACTGGCTAGTCCAGTTCAGTTTCTGGTTAGTAGTAATCCCAGAAATTCAGCAATGGCAATACCATTGAATTCAAGGGGATTTGGTTAAATTCTCTCTTGGAGATGATCATTGTCTGGCACATGTACGCCTCAAATGTTACTTGCCACCTGTCAACCCAAAACTAGATATTGTCCGGGTCTTGCTACATATGGGCACAGACTGATGAGAAACAAATGGTGCTCACCTTTGTGATCAGCAAACGTCCCCACTTCTGACTTTAAGACAGAGGGTAGGTCATTGATGAAGCAGCTGAAAGTGGTTGACCCAAGAACAGTTGAGGAAATTCAGCAGTGATGTCCTGGGACTGAAATAATTGATCTCCAGTAACCACTACCGTCTTTGTGCTCAGTATAACTCCAACCACTGGAGAGCTTACCCCCGACTCCAATTTTGCTCAGGCTCCTCAATGCGACACTTGGTTTAATGTGTCCTTGACATCAAGGGCAGTCACCCTCACCTCATTAACCTCCCTACTTTTGGATTCAATTCCTCTCCCAATAACAAGAACATTCTGTTCACTTTCCTAATTATTCGCTGTACCCTCATACTAGTCTTTTATAATTCATGTACGAGGGCAGTCCAATTCCTCTGGATCTCAGAGCTCTGCGGTTTCTCATCATTTACTGATGTGTCTTGGTTTCTTCTTTCTACCAAAATTAACAGTTTTGCATTTTCCAACATTATACTACATTTGCCAGATCTTTGCCCACTCACTCAAACTATTATATCCTCTAGTAGCCTCCCTATGTTCTCTTCAGGCTACAGTTTACAGCTTAGCCTCCTGTTTGTAGACTCTGAGCTGAATCCCAGCTAGCCACAAACACTTACCCACAGACATGGTTGTCCTCCAGGAATTCCCATATGCTGCAGTCATGATGCCTCACCTGCCCTTCTATCCTTAATGTGTTTTAGCCAGCTACTTAATTGTTTAACTAATTATTTATTTCCCTTTTTTATATTCTTTATTAACCTTACCACTGGTATCTACACCATCTTAAACCTTACAAATAGAATAGACCTGAACCACTTACCAAATATTCACCAAACAGTGAGCTTCTTCCCCATAGTGGAGTAAGAGCTAATTTCAAGAGGGTGAAAAAGTTAGAAAAAGTACAGGAAGAGGAGAATTTCCTTCTCTCCTTCCATAATCACTGAGCTCCTAACAAAAGCTGCAGAATGTGCTAAGTGCACTAAGATGCATGGCCTCGTGCTTCGTAAATTCAATCATGTTAGCATCATTGAATACCCCATTATTAACATCATTGGCCAGAAACTCAACTGAACTCACCAAATAAACTCAGTGGCTACAAGAGCAGGTCAGAGGCTAGGAATACTGTAGTGAGTAACTAACCTTCTGACTCCCCAAAGCCTGTCCACCATTTACCAAGGTACAAGTCAGGAATGTGATGGAATACACCCCATCTACCTGGATGGATGCAGCTCCAAGAACTCAAGAAACTTGACACCATCCAGGACAAAGGAGCTTGATGATTGGCACCACACAAACAAATGCACTGCAGAAATACACCAAAGATTCTTAGACAGCTCCTTCTAAACCCACAACTGCTTCCATCTAGAAGGACAAGGCTAGCAGAAACATGGGAACACCACCACCCACAAGTTACCCTCCAAGCCACTCACCATCCTGACTTGGAAATATATCACCATTCCTTCACTGTCACTGGGTTTTCCTCCCTAAGGGCATTGTGAGTCAACCTGCAACCTGTGAATTTAAAAAAGGTGAAGGAACTAACTGACTAAAGTTACAGAAAGAAACAGTTACTCAGTCGCTCTTCCAGTGGAGACCCTGTAAACACCACTTAAGAATGGGAAATTTTGAATAGAAACAGTAAATTTCAGTTCATTGTTAAATACAAAGATAAATTAGCTTTTACAGAATTTAACTACTTACTCACCAATGACCAGAACCAATACCTTATATAACACTACAGACCTCAACTAGCTAAAGAATAGCGTATTTAAAATTTGGTTTGAATAGTAATTACTTCGTGCTAACATAACATAAAAAGGTAAAGTTAAAATGCTAAGAATTCTATAACATTATCATTACTCTGCTTTAAGATATTTTCTTAGAAAATATACTCATAGGAAGAATTTGAGTTAAGTGAATAATCCTGATAAACATCAAAGTAAGTGTAGCAAACTGGATTTGAAAATGTTTAAAAGTTTGTGTATGTTCTTCCCCCAATTAAACGATGGGACAATCTAAGCACTGTAATGATCTTAAGGATTGCCAGATTTTCAAAATCTGAATCTTCTTTTAGGTTGAACACAAGTGTACAAATTATATTTTGACATTAGGCATTTCTTCTGACTTGCAATATTTTTGCAATCGTGTAACTGGGTTTAAATTAATTTACTTGACTACTGAAGTAAAATGTTGGTGTGCTCTATCTTAGACCTGTTTTCTTTCATGTGTCTGCAGGTTGCTTGACAGCAACCCATTCTAAGGCTGTCCATAAATTGGACATTCCAGCATTTGATTGGCCCACAGCACCATTTCCAACACTGAAATATCCTCTGGAAGAGTTTGTGAGCGAGAACGCACAAGAGGAAGCTAGGTGCTTGGAGGAGGTGGGTCACAGTCCTCAATCTATTTGATATTTGTCAGAAATCTGCAATGTGAGGTAACTTTTTGGCTACTTTTCATCTCACAGAATTTAGCTTCTATACATTGTGGGATCATGTTCAATAACGACCGAGATCGGTGAGTGGCAAAAATAGCCTCTTTATTGAGCATCCGCAGTAGCACAGTTTGAGGCAGCGATGGAATCCAAACCACAGTAGCCTCTTTTGTGCACAGTTTTTGCATACATTAAAATTTTTGTACTATCGTGTCACAAAATTGTATCTATTGCACACGCGTTTGCATGACATCAGTCCTGGGGAAGCAGGAGATGGTTTAAGCACTTGCTAAATGCTGGCTGTTACTTCTGATGGGATTAGAATGTCTGTCCGCTCTGGGTTTGCATAATTAAGAGGTGTTAGTCCTTTTGTCTTTAAAGTTAGTAATGCTATTAAAAATACTATACCTATGTGATCTAAATAAAAAATTATACATGTACTAAACAAAAACGTGGAGAATGATAAACTGATCTCCCATAACTGGATCATGAGATATCATTTACTATTGCTGATTTTGACAGTTCTCACACATTCATTCATGCAGTTTCATCGAAGCGCCGTTTTGATAGTAAGTGTCTCCCTGCTGGGTTTCTCCAGCTATTTGTGTTTTTGTTTGTTCTGTGACCATCATTGGGTTAATACCATCAGTTGTGGGATAATACCCTTAAATGGGAAGTAGTTGCCTCATGTCCTTAAGAGGCAGGAAGCTCACCCTGGGTCCTGCCCCAGTGGACTTAATCTGTGAAGGTAGGAAAATGATGGGGCGCCCCCAACACCAAACTGACTTGGGGAGGGCACAAGATTGCATCCTTATTTTCACAGGATACTACAAAATTACCCTGAACGATCATGATTAATGTGAATGTTTATTCAAATGTTCAGCCAGTTTTTAATTACATTTTTTCACTTTCAACCCACTACTCGTGTTTTGCTAAACTATATGTTCTTGTATAAACATTTGATTTTTCGCAACCTGATTGTGGATGCATTTGGGTACTTGTTTCCTCATTCACTAAATATCAATCTGCTTCTCACAGATTTTCACAAATTTACAAATAACATGAGGCACCAGTAGTAAATCTTGATAAATGTTACTCTGTCCTGACCAGTAGGTGGAGAAATTCAGCAGAGCTGGTTTAGAATGTGAGCCTGGAAGATATTCGTAGTATTAAATAAGTTGATGACAAAATGAACAAAAGCAGACAGTACCAGAATGGAGACCTGCTTTGGGCAGGACTGCAAAATGGTTAGCTTTAGGGACAGTGCTTTATCCTGGCAAACTAAGCATGTAGTAGCTTAAGAAATAAGTAGAATAGCCCACTTATGTTTCTAAAAAAAACCCCGAACGTTTGGGCTGACATACCAATTCTGCCTAGTATGGACTGATATTACGAAGGTAAGTACATATGAATGAGCTGCCATCTGTAAGAATGGATTCCACTTGTACTGAATCATGCTAGATACATCACAGCTTTGTAAAACAGATTGAACTGTTTGCTGACAGATTTATTGGCAAGGTCAATATGGATTGAAGCTTCAGTTATAATTAGTCAATTGTTATATTTTAAATTATTAGAAGTACTCTTGAAAATGAAAATATATCATCAACCCTGAACAATGGAATGCCCAGTAACTACTGTAACTTGGGCAAGTACTGGAGATGATAGCATACATCTGAAGTATTTGTTTCTGCAATACTGGTACAGTATATAGGATATCTATGGAGTGTAATGAAGATAATTTCATCAGTTGAGTTACAAAATTTGTGGTTTGTCAGTAAATCAAGAATGTAAAGATTCTCCAAAGTTTTTTGTTTCAAGAAATGCATACTCTCACCTACACCTAGGTGGAAGACTTAATAGTAAAGTTCAGAAAGAAGGGTAGAAATGTGGCTGCAATAATTGTCGAGCCAATCCAGTCTGAGGGGGGAGACAACCACGCATCAGATGACTTTTTCCAGAAATTGCGTAACATTGCCAAAAAGGTAAGTACCACTTATTGAACTTTTTCCTGTAAAACAGAAATGGAGTCAATTGATGTGTTCTGGATGTTCATGTCTGAAACAAAATGGGCTTGAATTCCTTCAACCCACAGTCCAACTGAAAAGTAAGGCAATGCAATAGCATGACCTCTGTCTACCTGACGCATCATGCCCTGCCAAATTCCAAATTTTGAGGATAATGTGGTGTGGGCAAGCTACATGAGAGTACGTACTTACTGTGGTAGTGATGAGATAGACCAATCTGGTTAGAAAATTCAGTATATCTGAAAGTAAAATTCAGTTTTAAGAATCAAGCATTGATGACCACTCTACAGAGATAGCCAAACTAGCAAAAATTTGTGACAGGTGATATCATCCTGCCAGCTGTGCCTTCTTATGACGTTGCTATTAGATGGAAGGTTAGGAACACAAAGTGCCCACTCTCAATTCGATCAGAAATGTTCGTAAAGAGGTGGAGACCCTGTAGAACCAGCTTTGATGCCAAATTTCTGCTTCGCTTCCTGTGGATATAATCTAATATACCCCCAAGACAAGGAACCTCCAGAGCTGAAACTGCAGTTGGTGAAAATTATTCTGTAGATTTTTATCTATTGATCAAGGCTACAATCTTTTTATTATTTAATCTGGTAGTTTTCCACACACTTCACTGTTTTACTTTTGTGTGCTAATAGTTTTGATCATTTTTAGATTAATTTGGCATGATTTAGAATTATGTAAATTGTTAATTGAAAGTTTTTTTAAGGAAATCAGGTTGCTCTGATGACACCATGAGAAAGTTTAGTTATTAGCTGGCTGAGAAATGGTAATACAAGGGTTTTTGCTGCTTAATCATCTGCTGTATTGTGGAACTGTGAGCAAACAGAGTATTCATTGAAACAGATTTCACTCAATCAGACCTTTGACCGTAAAAATAATTGAAAACAGTAAATGACAACTTCATGAATTGACTCTCTTGTTTTGATTTTTTATTGCACAGCCTCTAACTGGAAAAAAAGTTATCTCCTGCATGTTAACTTTCAGTTCCAGGAGCCCGATATATAGATCAGTTCGCTCAGTTGGCCGGTTTGCGATGCCGACTGATGTGTGGGTTCATTTCCCACACCAGCTGAGTTTACCATAAAGGTCCCACCTTCTCAACCTCTCCCCTCCCTTGAGGTACAGAGACCCTCAGGTTAAACCACCACAAGCCAGCTGTCTCTTTAGGGCTGCTCGCTCATTAAGTCCAGTAGGACTATGGCGACTTTATACATCTGAGTTTCCTTTTATAAAACCTGATTTGTCTTGATTTTTACCCCACTTCAGGAGAAACTGACAACATTATAGCTTCAACTTTTTTTTCATTCTCTGGGAGAGAACTTTTATCAATCAGAACTACCCCCTATCTGATGTATTTACAGCAGACACCTTAAGCTACGCTCACACAAACAGATTTATCTCCTGTTCATTAGGCATTATAGTTTTATCAGGCCATCACAGCTGAAAGTTGTTTAATGATCTTGACACATTTCCTCATTAAAGGAGGTAAAATTTTAATACCAGTGATAGCTGCATATGGTCCATTTTTGATAAATGCTGTCCACTAGAAAATATTTTTCAGCATAATATACTTGGAAAATAATATTTACCAATTGCAAAACACAGGCTTCCATACCGCATTAATTATTATGGGTAGGTGATAGGAATTGGTAATTACACTGATGGTCTTTATTTCACTTCCTTGCATGCCATTTTGTTTTCCTGTTGCTTCATCCCTGCCACATGCAGATCACCCATTGTCACATTGTGTTTATCATTGCCACAAATGTATGAAATTCTGGCTTTCTGTCCTCACCTACCTTACCCTGTCTGCCTGAAATTGTTCAATCAGCATGGCTGTGCTTTCTTGTGTGACGAAGTACAGACGGGAGGCGGCAGCACTGGCAAGTTTTGGGCTCACGAGCACTGGGGCCTGGACGATCCAGCAGATATTGTCACCTTCAGTAAGAAGTTGCTGTCAGGAGGCTACTTCTACAAGGATGAGCTAAGGCCTGACATGGTGAGTGTATGTGGTAAGAAATTGGTGGAAATGGTTTGTACAGTGCCATCCAAACAATGGAAGGAGCTTTACCTGAAACATGTGCTCATGTTCAATCATTAGTTAGATTTGAAACAAGATGCGTTAAAATGTATTGTGGAGAGGGCTTTTAGCTCTTCATGAGACAAGCAGGGAGGTGGGCCTGAGAAATATCACATTGCCAGCACCATGCTGGCCCCAGGTCCTTTCCTCTCGGACATGGAGGGTAGTTGGTTTTGGGAATGGAGTCAGGAAGGGGTAACAGCAGGTCAGCTACCTGGCCAAATGTTTGTTAAAGTTTAATAAGGCCTATTGTCAGAGTCTTCCAGCAGCAGATCTGGGGGCTAATGCTCAGTCTTTCGGCCCTCCCCACCTGCCGGCTTTCAGCTGCAGCCACAGTGTTCTTTTTACATAGGTTCCCCGACAATAATGGTAGCTCGGTTCTCCAGGGCATTTTTGTACTTTAATTATTTTATTGTAAAGTTAAAGAAGTTGGAGAGAAGGCACCTCTATCTTGGATGCCCTACCTAAAAAGACAGTTTGCTGGAGAACATTCAATTAGTCCTCCAGCTTAAAGAGTCTGCCTGTCATTCCTAGTTTCACAGAAAGCCTGTCCTCTGGCATTAATTTTCGTGTCCAGGGAATCAGTTTACCAGGTGACTGCACCTTGCACATTGTAACTTCTTACACTTGACCCTTACATTGAAAATCCAGAAGTCCAAGGCAAAAATCCAATCCATAGCTTAATTAAATCCTATATCCATTAAAAGGATTTAAAGGTAGGGACAACACCTAAAGAGAGAACCATTAACAACATCAATCAAGAAATGGATAGTCAATAGCTTAGTGGGATGAGGGAGCATAACGTGGATGGATCTCCACCTAGAGAAAGCATGAGGGAAGAAAAAGAAACTGGAGAAAGATGAGAGTTCTGGGCTAAGGCAGTGAGGAACTTCAGAGGAAGTGTGGTTCTGGGGCCAGTGAAAGAAAGTGAAGGCTAGAAGCTGCTAATTGGATGATCTCAATCAAAGAAATTATTGAGCTCTTTGCACTTGCTATTGGAGGTATAGTAGACGAAACAAGAACAGAAAAGAAAAAAGAAACCCCTGGGATTAACTGTGCATTCCAGGATGACGCTAAAATAGTGAGTAGATTCAGCAGATGAAAGCAAGTCCTAATAGTGCTCTACATAGTCCAGCCAAATGTGGCAGTGGATGGCCAAACAGGTATCTGTCATATCCATTCAACTTTACTTCCCTTGCACTTATAGGAGCAGAGATGCAGACTGTACTGAGGAAAATCAGCCACTGAACATCAACTAGGAGAGGAAATTCTTATTGATTTAGTCTGCCTCAGAGTTGAGGTTAATTTCAGTGTCAGTTATTCATTGCAACTGAAATTAACTAACCCAACCTAGAGTGACATTCTAGCCCTGGGCTTGCCTTCAATCTGTTGTCTGTTACTCATGCTTCACTCAGCTGAAGCTCCCTTCTAAATGGGAATAGTTTACAATTTTTGGGTTAGAAAGGTTCTTTCCATTTTTTTGGAAGATAAAGCAATCCAAATCCTGTTTGTCAGGTGAATATCACAAAAGTTGTGATTACTTTGATTACATTGAGCACTGCACCCACACTAATATATGGTGTGATTAGCTCAAAGTATGTGCGTGCAACACGGGTGCAATTTGATCCCTGCACAGCACCCATGGTGCCCAAACAGCAGGAGCTGCTAATCAAATTTTCCATGAGCTTGTTAAACAAACCAATTATCAGTTCACTACTACAACTAAGCAATTTTAAGAATATCGTTTTTGCTTTAAAGAACTAGCAATTCGCTGCAGTATGTTTCTCGGTTTTATTGTCTTCTGCTATCCCTAGTACTGAAAGCATTGAAATTAGTTTAATTATTACAGGAAAAACTGTTTGCTGCATCACCTTAGATCTTGAAAGTCAGAATGTATGTTTGCATGACAGTGAAAGGTGACTTTCCTGCTTCTCCCCAATACAAAACACACTGCCAAGCACCACCTCATTAGGATGCTTAGGTGATTGAACCTCTTGAAAGCTGCTGTGATGTGTGGGATTGCACTCCTGCTTCTCGAAGAAAAAGAAAATGCCAAATAATATATTTAAAAAAAGCAATTTCACTGAACTTTATACTTTTTAAAAACGTTGTTGGAACCTTTTCTTGAAGATCTTTGATGTAGATGCTTTCTGATATAGAACTTAACATATTTGTAATTCAATGATAAACTATACTGTTTAGTCAAACAAAAAATCTTATCAAGTAATGTATCTTTTTCTATTACATGTTATAATCTGTAAATTGCATCTTGTTACAGCCCTACAGGATTTTCAATACATGGCTTGGAGACCCTTCAAAAAATCTCATGTTTTCTGAAGTACTTAATGTTATTAGGAGAGAAAAACTCTTGGACAATGTCAATGAAAGTGGCAAGGTCCTATTACAGGGTCTTAAGGATTTACAGGTAATAATTAATTGTGTACTTGAAAACCTACAAAAATAATTATCTTACTATACAATTGGATATCCTACCATGCTTTCTCTTTTGCATCCAGTGCTTATTGTATTGAGACATAATAGATATTATTTACCTGAAATATTTTGAAAATTGATTTAATGACTGGTGTTACAATTATTTAGTTAAAGGTGTAATTTCTACATTTGGAGTGGGGTTGGAGCAGTTGACAAGAACATCACACAAGTGTCACAGAGTTGTCTGAAATTATTAGGAACTCAGGGTTGGTATGAAATTTAGCCATCACATATTTTGCAAAACCATTGTTAATGTCATTGGGTTCCTGAAGTCAGCTGCAAGCGAAATATAAAAATCCTTCGATTCACTAAGACTAACAGGAAAACCCATTTTAGTATGGCAGTTCTGCAATTGACTTTGAACCAGCTGTTTGGAAGTCTTGCGTCTGCATTGTGGCAATATTACCATGTTATAAAAACACAGCAAGTCACAAAAACATTATTGCATTGAACAAAGGCCAGATTATTCCTGCAATTTCTCATATCTCATGGCAATTTGGAGTGGTATTGCGGAATTCTAAAATCATTTTACACAAATTGTTCTGTTGTGTTTTTTGTGTGCCATAGGACACCAGGTAACTGGAAGGATTTTGTTAATAGTTACCTATTATGTTAATAGTTGATTCTGAGATGAGGTTAGAGACGAGGGTCAGATCAAACATGGTCCTTTTTTTAAATAATATTTTCACCCTTTTCAGGCGACCAACTTTTTTCAGTTCTCTCTGAGCAACAGCACAGTGAGAAATGATCAGAATAGACCAAATGTAGGTTTTTGTAAAGTAGGCTGGAACTAGTCCTGAGAATTGTCATTATTGACCCCATTAAGTCAAGTAACTTTAAGTTCAACAGAGTAAACCAAATCTTCTGCTGGTAAGCAACCAAACCATTCCATCACCTCCACCACCTGGGCTGGCAAGTCATGTCAAATGTTATTTGGAGGAAGCTCTGTGGAAAGCATATATATTAACTGGTCTCTAATGGGGTGGCTTAATGTGTGCCAGGCCTGGCAGTGTCCAGGTGGATGTAAAATCCAATTAGGCCTCTGAGAGAGTGGTGCAAGAATTAATACAGGGAAGTACTTGAATAAAAGCAAGGTACTGTGATTGCTGGAGATATCAAATAAAAACAAGGTGCCAAAGAAACTCAGCAGATCTGACAGCATCTATGGAGAGAGAAACAGAGTTAATGCTTTGAGTCCCATGACACTTCTCCAGTATTCCAAAGAAAACCTATTTGACCTTACTGTTATGATAACATTGGTAGAAGTGGTCACCAATTACAATCCTTCTGAAGACTAAATCACATCTGCACTGTGAAGACATCTGTATCGTGTAGTCTAGCATTACAACCAATGTGGAACAGACTAAAGACAGATCTAAAGGCAGTTCAACAACCTAAAGCTGAGCCTAGCCATCCTTTAGCTTTTAATCACCAACAAAGAAAAGGGAGCAAACCTCATCAGCAATAGCGCTGTACATACTTTAGAATAAGGTATGAATATAGTACAGTTACAGCATGGAGCTATTCACTGCCATTGTCAGCAGGTGGTATGGACAAAATAAAATGGTCCCATACCAATGGTTACAAAACTTTACTCTAATTCGTGTCACATCCTCTTGGGAATGGCAGCAGACCACAAGGCAACAGAAAGAGATGCAGAAACTTCAAATCCAAAGTACATTTCTATGTAAATAAAATCATACTCAAATATGGCAGGTACATCAGATGAGAGGACTGGCCACTTTTGTTTATGAGCAAATAGTAACATTTAAAATGAAAAAGAATTAAAATTTCAACCATTTACAAAAGTGCACAGAAAATTTTCAGGATTCAATTTAGTAAAACATTTGTAAAATGTATTATTCTCATTATTTATTGCTATTGGTTATTGGCATCACATCAACATATTAATGGACTTTAATTACTATGCTCTTTTCCAGGTTCTCTATCCACACATTTTGAGTAAAGCCAGGGGGAAGGGGACATTCTGTTCTATAGATGCACCCAACGATGCAATAAGGAATACACTTGTTCTGAAAATGAGAAATAAAGGTGAGTTGGATCAGTGTCAAATGCAAGATGAACTTAATTTATTCAATTTAATGTTTCAAAATTATAGCAATTATTCTTACCTTGAGATTGAGATTCAAAAATGTAGTATAGTAATACTTAGTGCTACAAAAAGTGGAGGCAGCTATTTAATATGTCATTATAAATCAGTCTGTGTAGGAATAAAATTTCAACTGCCCTTGTTTGTACACGAAGTTGAATTTTCTTCCATCAAATTCCCTTCCCTTTCTCCATATATCAGTTGCCAGCTAACAGCAGAGGCATGAGCATGCTGCACCTGCCAAGAAATGGGTTAGATTATGACAGCATTTGCAGATGAGGGGACTACAACGCAAATTTACAGTATCAATCTTACATAGCTAAACGATAAAGGGATCGATGTTAAAATGTAAAAGGTAGGTTGCAATGCTTACAGTCTATTGAAAAATGGAGCCCTTCTTCACCTTAGAGCTGGGACATCTAACATGCAGCATGATGCCACCTAGGGTAGTGCTTTGAATGGTGTGGGTGCCTATCCAGTGCCTGACCCTGTAATGTGGAGCAAAATGGTATCTGTGAAGTGAAAGTTTCATCCCACGCCACACTTGTTTAACCCCCTGAAAGTCGTGCAAAATAGATGGACTAGGCTAGACCAAGTAAATAATTGATCTGGAATTGTTATTTGATGGGTTTGACCACTCACTTTTCTCTCATTAGGTATTGTACTTGGAGGCTGTGGAGAAAAGTCTATTCGGTTCCGTCCTGCTTTGATATTCAAGCCACACCATGCACACCTCTTCCTTAATGTTTTCAGTGATGTTCTGGCTGCCCACAAATGAATCCATGATGCAGCAGGCAGCACAAAAGGATCCACAATCCACAATTATACTATTCAATAGATTACATGCTAGTGATCTTACAAATTATCTGACCAGTTGTTCAACATTGACATCAACAGTTTATGCCTTTTTTTAATTTTTTTTAAAGCAATAAGGGCATATTTGATCTCTACAGCCCTTTCAAATGTGTAATTTGTGTATCATTTAACAATCTGTGAATATACAGCTAATAACATTACATATAGTGTTAATTTTCCATCATAAGATGCTTTGTGTATAATGGTGCAACTTGAAAACAATACTACATTAACTTCCATAATCAGGTCCATAATTAGTCACCATTTTTGAAATTTTTACTGATATTTTGTATCACGTGATGGATGTCAATTAATAGCATTTATGACCTATAGTAGGACATTTGCGATCTGTTCTAAAATGCTGCACACACTCCCTTGTGAATTAATGGTGGATTATATCAAAATAATTTCCATTCAGTTTGAAACATGTCATGCATTTACTGTCAAAATTACCAGAAAGCCTAGTTGCTTGAGTAAGATGTCTTAAGCTTGGTCAGTTCACCGTATATAGAAATTGATATAAATTTATTCACCATGGCCATCTGTATCTTCCAATAAAACCTAGTTTCTTGAAATGATATATATTGTTGAAAAAGATGATCTACAATTTTATCCTATCATTAAACTAATAGAATACATTTTTGTTAGTTTTTTTTTGTCTAAATGTGTGACATAAGTTAGGATTGGAAAAGGGAACATTTTTTACTTCAGCTATAATGTAAGTTATGTGCAGATTTTTAGAAATATCATTTACTCTTGTGGGATATGGTACATTAAGATTTACACTTCAAGGGTCTGACAGTGAAAGTAGTAATTTTTTTTTTTAAATTCTCTCCTGGGATGTGGGGATCACTGACTGGACTAGTATTTATTGCCCATTTCTAATTACCTTTGAGAAGGTGGTGGTGAACTGCCATCTTGAACCACTGCAGTCCATTTCCTGTAGGAATACCCACAGTGCCATTAGAGAGGGAGTTTCAGGACTTTTACCCAGCAACAATGAAGGAGCAATGATATATTTTGAGGTCAAGAAAGTGTATGATTTGGAGGGGAGCTCGCAGGTGGTGAGAATCTGACAGGTTGCTATAGTTTGAACAAGAATTGAGAAATAAGGAGACAACATTCAAAGCTCAAATGAACATTACTATCTTTACTAGATTCGTAGGAATATTAGTTAACAATATAATTCACCTGTTACAGTATATCTATTAGTAATACACACATTAGTCACAAGCTACAAGAAATTATGTATAAAATCAATAGTGAATGGTTAACCATCTGCCACGTATTCTAACAGGTAACCAACCTACTTTCGCTAAGCATCAAATCACCTTTGCAATGATCTTTCTAATTTGGGAACGATTCTTAACTGACAAGACCGTACTGTGCTACTAAAAATCAGACTTAAACTGCAGTTGATTAATGAGGCTCCAATACTTTGTTCAAACCACAATGAGACACTTTTTGACAATACCGAAAGAGGTGTTGACCATATATGTAATTTCCTGTACCTTGTAGCTGTTATAGAGTCATACAGCATGGAAACAAACCCTTTGGTTCAACCAGTCCATGCCAACCATAATACCAAACTAAACTAGTCCCACCTGCCTGCTCCTGCCTCCTATCCCTCCAAAACTTTCCTATTCATGAACTTATCCAAATGTCTTTTAAATGTTGTAATTGTATCAACATCCAACACTTCCTCAGCAAGTTCATTCCACAAGCAAACCACCCTCTAAAAAAAATTTACCCCCCATGAGTGTTTTTTTTAAATCTCTCTCCTCTCACCTTAAAAATGTGCCCCTAGTCTTGAAGTCTCCCATCCTAGGGAAAAGACAACTACCATTAACTCTATCTACACCCATCATTATTTTATAAACTTCTTTAAGGTTGCCCCTCAACCTCCTAAGCTCCAGTGAGGAAAGTCCTAGCCTTTCTTTATAACTCACACCTTCCATATCAAGCATCCTGGTAAATCTGTTCCGAACCCTCTCCAGCTTAATAAGACCCTTCCTATGACCGGTGCAGAATTTTTCAGTCCTTCTTTCCTATCATTTGGCAATACAGCAATTTAAGTTTCTTAAGTTTCTGGTTTCTTACAAACTGTTCCTTAGAGAATTAAAACAAATTCCATCTGAGAAAGCCGATAAACTAAAAATTGTCTGCTTACTTCTCTGCACATTTAAAAAATGTTGTCAATCAATACCAGCTTGTGTTCTCTTTTCAGGCTTCAAATGCTTAAGGCCAACTCAATTTGTCCTTTTAAAACATACCAATTCATTACCTTAATAGCTGAGATATGATTTTGCCAGGATTTTTTGTATATGTAAAACTTCTGCCCAGTTCAAAATATATATTAATGCAAAGCATAACTTTTAAACATGTTTATTGTTTTGTTTTGAAAGGACATTTATACTTGTTGCTAATCATTATAGATTTTGGATTTTATAGACCAGCATGTTTAGGGCAGCACGGTGGCTCAGTGGTTAGCATTATTGCCTCACAGTGCCAATGATTGAGGTTCAATTCCACCCTTGGGTGACTGTCTGTGTGGAGTTTGCACATTCTCCCTGTGTCTGCGTGGTTTTCTGCCTGGTGCTGTGGCTTCGTTCCACATTTAAAAAACGTGCAAGTTAGGTGGATTGGCTATGCTAAATTGCCTATAGTGTCCTGGGATGTGCAAGCTAGGTGGGTTAGCCATGGGAAATGCAGGATTACAGGGGTAGGGTAAGGGGTTGGGTGTGGGTGGGATGCTGTTTGGAGGGTCAATGTGGACCCAGTGGGCTGAATGGTCTGTTTCCACACTGTAGGGATTCTATGATCTTGTAATGGATGAAATCACCCTGTAGCTTTTATACAATATAGATTTCCAGATTTAAATTAATGCTTTCTCTGGCTGGAAAACGCCACAAGTCTTTGCAACAAATTATGACTTAAATAATATTATCATCTCCTACAACAGTTCAGTAGTAGTACTGACAGCTAGGTGAAATTTGTTGTTAGCAGGCCATTGGTCCATCAATAGTGGGACAATGAAATATGTTGGACTTGATTAATCTGCTGATTCTATCTATTCTAAGATAGTGGAAGCTTCTTAGTCCATAATCCCAGGCTCTCTCTGATCATTGAAATTGATCAAATTGATAATATAGGAACAAGCTTAGGCCATTCAGCCCCTCAAGCCTGTTCTGTCATTCACCGAGATCATAACTGATGGATAGTCTAACGCCACATACCTTCAGCTCATGACCAAAAAATCTTTCCTTAACAAAAATTTATCCATCTCAAATTTAAAAATGAACAACAGATTCAGCATCCACTGCCATTTGTGGAAGAGTGTTCCAACATCTACCACAGTGTGTGTGGGTAGAAGTACTTCCTAACATCTCAGACTATGAATTTATGAAACAATCTCCAAAATGTCTACTCACTAAGGCTTTTAAACAGTTATGATCACCGTAGGATTTGGCAACGTGAAAGGATTAAATAAAAAGCCTTCTTGCAATGCTTAGGTTTGATAGCAAATTGCAAATCTGCTTCAAACACTGAATAAATCTTAGGCATCCAGGTTTTTGTGACCAAAAATCTAGTGCCAAAGAAAACTAACCATCCATTTGTAACATTGGACTCAGTAGTATATATTTTTAGTCACTACATTGCCTCCTATTGCTCAAAACAGCATCTGAGATTTACATGCACACTTCTGATGGGCAGTCCACAAGACATCTTGATAGAGGCATGCACATGCACAGTGAATGACTGCTAGCATCAAGTGAGGAAGACAGATTGGGGTGTGTCTGAACCTCTCACAGCTCACCACGTTAAATGTCATAAATGCCACCAACAGGGTTATTTAAGGGGATTATTCGTGGTTTACATCTTAGTTGCTGGATTACTGCTTTTGACTGCCAGCACAATTGAACTGGAGCTTTTAATATTAAAAGGCTTAGTAATGTACAGGTCTTTCTGCTGTTTTTGGTCATTTAAATACTCGTACTGTTACGGGTACATCCAGGCACTTACAGACCTTGCTCTGGCAATTGAACACAACTTGAAAAACATGCGAACACCACGCAGAACAGAACAAACTGCTAGAAGAGGAAAGAGGAACCATGTTAAATTGTGACTGAAAATTGCCAACTGCTACAGCTTTAGAATCATGGCAAAGTTAGGCTGGGATTGCAAATGCCTACAGCTTTTAATATTTATGCTTCTGGCCCCTGGTCTGCTGCAACAGAGAGATGACATCTTCACAGAATCCCTATAATGTGGGAGCAGGCCTTTTGGCCCATCAAGTCCACACCGACCCTCCAAAGAGCATCCCAACCAGCACCCCCCCACCCACAATCCACCCTATCCCTGTAACCCTGAATTTACCATGGCTAACCCACCTAACCTGCACATCTTTGGACTGTGGGAGGAGACCAGAGGAAACCCACGTAGACAAGGGGAGAATGTCTGTGTGGAGTCTGCAGTGTTGCCTGGATGTGGAATCAAACTCAAATCCCTGGCCCTGTGAGGCAGCAGTGCTTACCAATGAGCCACTATACTGCCCAAAATCTTGCATGACTACTGAATATGGGAGGTCACGGAGATACTCTATACAAAGGCAGACAGTTGTAACACACTGTCTCTTGGCATTGGAATCTGAGGAAGTCTCGCAATACTAAAAGTGCTTTATAAATTCAGGCTGCTGTTATCCACCTACAGAAACTACCTCCACCACAAATCCAAGGATAGGGAGAGAAAGCTTGTACCACAACAGTTGGCATCTCAAAAAGGTTAACTCCAGTAACTGGATTAGGAGATACATGGGTCATAATGCCAATGAGGTTTGCATTTATACTGCAAGAAATTGTGGATCTAAATATTTAAGAACGTTATCTGCCTGATTTCACCATGGCTTAGTTTATTTCAACATTTAAGCAAATGTTAAATTCATCCAACAAAATGTTACAAATTACATCAGGATGCTAGTGAGTAAAATTTAATGAATATTACCAAACACTTGTAGGAATTTTTGCTTATCAACTACCTGCCCAAACTTAACCGTGAAATAGAAAACCTCAGTTTTATTATATTGTTTAAACTGCAGAATAATTTCATTTGCTGTGTCCCCTGTGTCTCCAAGAGGCATGACATCTTCAACAGAGACATAAAAATCATTTCTCCTTCCCCAAAAAGTCAAATGTGAAACCTTCAAAGTGGTTCCAGAGTCATTTATGTACAGCATCCCTATGAATCGTCTTAAATAGTAACTCATGAAATAAAGCATGACGACGGCAAAACCTGATAATCCAGTAATATAAGTAAGGAGAGTATTTTGTACTTGTTCCTGCAGGTAAAAATAATAAAACGTAGGTACAAGAGCAACAGTTATGCCAGTCTGCAGTACTTTTAGCTTTGAAACAGCTCTCAAGAATCTTATTCCATGAAACCTATATATCATTGTGAAGTGTTCATTGTCTGGAAATTTGGGCTTTGGCTCCATCCCGTGTTCCTGCACATTTACAGACATTTGCCTGTGTTGAATCTGTACTTGTGACATAACACATCTTTCATATGCTTTAAGATGAAACTTTGTTGCTTGAAGATATTGTGCAGCACAAGTCTTGAGCGGCCAACCAAAAGTAGCGAACTTTTTCTGGGTACTTGAGGCAAACAGAAATAACAACGATCTTGCCTGGCAAGTTGTCTGACAATAATGGAGTATGCTATTAAAAGCCAAAGCCTTCAACAAAAAGAAAATCCATGTGAATGCAAAGCACGAGTGTGCAATTGAGTGTATAACCTCTACTTGTAAATATCAAGAACTGTTACTTAAATAAACCACACCTCAAATCATAATTAAGCAACAATTAAGAGATTTACAAAATCTGAAAAGCACATAGACTGATGATGCATGATTTTAAACTATTAATATTGCAAAAATGCAAACAATTTCATGTTTTTCCAAATGAAATTATCAGTATGAGATTTGGAACAGATATTGATTGTTCCTTTGGTTCCCCAAATGCAAAGCATGTACATTTCGCATAAAACAAATTTCTACTTCATAAAAATTTTCCAGCGCACTATAACCACTACTTTCACCCTATCGATTACACCATGAGCGTCTTTCTGTTTTCTATGCACAGACCCCAGATGAGGGGCGGCGGGGTGGTTCAGTGTTAGCACTGCTGCTTGGGTGACCGTGTGGAGTTTGCAAGTTCTCTCTGTATCTGCGTGGGTTTCCTCTGGGCGCTCCGGTTGTCAGGTAGATTGGCTGTGATTTAAACAAAAAAAAAACCCCCGCGGTGTGCAGGCTAGGTGGGTTAGTCATGGTAAATGTGGAGTCACGGGGATAGGCTGAGGGTAGTGTGGGTGAGATGTTCTTCGAAGGGTCGGTGCAGACTCGATGGGTCAAATGGCCTCTTTCCACACTGCAGGAACCTCTGAGGTACAGTGCCTCTGGGAAATGATGTCCTCTGAAAGGGCTCCAGTTCACAAAACTAATGCCTCTAACCAAACTTTTAAATTTGATGAAATATATCTTATGTTTAGTCGATGTACTGTATAATGTAAAGAATAAAGTATCCACTTTCTAAATGGATAACAATTAGAAATATTCAAATAATTTATATTATTACTATTAGCTGTAAAGGTTAACAAAAAAAACAGAAATTGCTAGAGAAAGGTCTGTTTTTGTTTCCTTTAGCAGAACTAATTCCGGATGGGCACACCTGGAGGAGATGTAGCAGCGAGTTATACACTAAAATAAAACTGAAGATCTGAAACAAAAAATTGTTGGAGAAACTCAAAGGTAAAGTCGCCATAGAGTGACCAAGACGACAGGGCTGGTTGAGAGCCTGCAGCTCCCGGCTGAGCCTCCATGGGACCAAGCTCAGACACAGAGACAGCGGGAACACTTACCCGGCCCAGGGGAAACCTACACATCGCATTACATCCAAAAGCAACCCGAGATCGTAGAAGCAGAACCAGGGAGTTATTGACCGGCCTAGAGACACCGAACCGGAGAGTTATTGACCGGCCTGAAAACACCGCAACGGTCAGTCACGCTCCACTTCCTCAGCAACGACCCCGAGCGCTGTGCATGCCGAGAGTTGTAGTTCACAGTCCCGGCCGTGTTCCGCTCACGTCAGGAACTACAACTCCCAGGATTCAGCTCGATGACGCCTGCGCTCTGAGCCTTTCCTGGAGCCGGTGGTGACCTAGCAGCAAGATGGCAGCGGCGGAGGTCGGCTGTGGCGGCGGCGGCGGCGGCGGCAGCAGCAGCAGCAGCAGCAGCAGGAGGGTCCTGTGCCTCTTTGATGTGGATGGGACGCTCACCAAACCCCGGCAGGTAGGTCCCAGACTGCACAGGTAGCACTGTCCTCGGCCAGAATCCTGGTCAGTGGAGATAAGAGTCCCTCTCCAGATCTGAACGGGGGAGTGGATCCCGGGATCGGTCTGTGAACGGGGGAGTGGATCCCGGGATCGGTCTGTGAACGGG